TATAATAATATTAAAATAAAAATTAATTTTTTATTTTTATATAAATTAATTATAAAAAATATATTTATTATATACTTAATTAATACCCTAAAGAAATTAGACAAACCCTTGATAAAAAAAGTTGGAAAGATATGGCTATGTTTAAGCATGTGAGCCTTGGATCTTCCCCGTCGTTTTTTCAATCAAATTAATGCTTGTTTTTGATGTCGATGTTGACTCGTCGAATCGCAAGGACTCATATGTCTTGACTGTTTGGTGGTGTTGATCTATAAATTTGAAGTGTTTCCATTTGACAAAATCCACGTGTTCTTAGAAAATCGACTTGAGGGGTGGACCTCGGGCATAGTTATGTACACTAATTTATTTGTTAAAATATTAAAATTATGTTAAAAATATAAATTATATTTAATTAAATTATTAAAAATAATTAATAATTAATAAAATAATAAATATTATTACTTAAAAATTAAAATTAATTTATAAATTGATAATTTTAAATATCATTATTTTTTACTTAAAAAAATATAAATATAAGCAAAATTGAATACAATTTTAATAGTTTTAACAAATGAATTGATAGTCATAACTACAACCATAGATCTCATGATAAACATTAGAATACTTAGGGTGTGTTGGTTAAAAGCAAATATTTTAGGAATTTTTTTATTGAAAAAGTAATTAAAAAGGTATTTTATGAAAGGTTGTTAAATTTTATAATGAAATTTTATTAGGATATTAATTTTGTTGTATTCAATAAAAAAATCATATGTTAAGTATAGGAAAAGTTGTGGGAAATTTTTTTCTTTAAAAAAATGTGAAAAGAACAATTTACAAGTTAAGAATTATGTTAATGAAAATAAAAACTAAAAATTCTATTTTTACTCTTTATTTATTATAGTTTTGAAACATATAAATACCCAAATACCTTTACAAAATTCTAAAAAGTAATGTTTCCTTAAAAAGTTTACCAAACACAACCAAAATCAATATAACCCTAGTGAAAGAGAGTTAGAAAGAGGAGCTAGAGTAGTAAATGTAGAGTGAGATAAAGATGTTGTTGAGAGGTAGGTAACGTTATGTGATCTTATTGGTCCAAGTTTCATTTATCTAATAGTTAAGCCTTAAACCAAAACCTTGAATATTGAAATTTTATAAGTCCTGAAAGCCCCCCTTTTTTTCTTAGGAAAATAATCACCTTGTATTAAATTAAAGAGATAAAGCAAATACAATACAACTTTCCCACACTTAGAAGCAATTCAGTAGTCTATAATTCTCTTGTACTACAACAAATATATCCTCTAAAGTATAAAGTAACTTGAAAAATAGAACAAACTAGAAAAGATAGTTAAATAACTATACGTAAGTACCTAACTATCCCTTTGCCTTTTAGGTGTTAGTTACACTGCTTCAACACACCCGACACTATAGTAACTTACTGCCAAATAATAATCCTTAGCCCAGAGTCATTGCTCCACAAGCATCTGTTATATATAGATTGATGAGCCATCTTTGACATCTATCTAAAGCCAGGGAGATTGAAAACTTCTCTATGTTGATGATCCACTCAAAATTTTAAAAATGGAAATTTTGAAACTTAAGTTTTATGGTCGAAAATCGAAGTCCCCACTTATCCAAATTATAAGGTAGTATAATTCACCTAAAAATGGTCTATGCACCTTATAGAGATAGTTACAGGGAAACTTTTTCCTTACAAAATATATGTGTAGCTAAAGAGATATGGGTCTGGGGGTATAGTTAAAAGTGAAGAAGGATATATGCACATTTTATAATCCTTCGTGTAGAACACGATTGTGTACTAAAGCCTGTTTAGTTAAAGCGCCCCTTTATTAGGAAAGTTTTTATTAGAAAAGTTATTAGAAAAGTATTGTAGAGAAAGTTAGAAAAATACAGCACGAAAAGTTGCTAAGTTTTGTTAGAGTTTTGTTAGGTTATTAATTTTGTTGTATTTGATAAGAAATTGATATGAGAAATATTAGTTGGGAAAGTTGTTAAGTGAGGCCAATATAGGGATACTTATAAGAAAACTTGTTCCTTGCAAAATAGGTGAAAAAAAAAACTTTACAATTTGAGAATTGTATCGAGAATTGTATCAAGGAAAATAAAGATTTAAAATGTCACTTTTACCCTCATTTTGTTATAGTATTAATGTGTGAAAATATACAAATAACCTTATAAGAGGAAAAATTTAGAGAACCTTAGGGAAAAAGCTTCCTCCTAATCAAACACCCCTAAAATTTGGGAGTTTATTTCAACTTATAATCATCTTTTTAAGTTAATGGCCTTACACTAAACATGGATGGGTATAAGTGTGAGAATTGAAAGACTTGGGGCTTAGTTGGATGAAATTGGAAATGTGTATGTTGAATCCCAACAAATTAAAAATGGCAGACTGAAGTGAATGAAATCAGAAACTTTTGGGCCATATTTTGGACTTGATTGCCTATAGTTGTAAAGATGTGGGCTGATTACAAAAAATTAAGAAACGTTGACTTTTGATCCTTGATTTCGATTGAGTGTTAATTAAGCCCAATTAAGAAAGTTGAGCCCAATTAAAATGATTAATCTTGGTCAATCAATACTAATTAAAGTTAATTAACTACTTTAATTAATCCAAATTAACTTAATTGAGTTTTAATTAGTTCAAATTAACATAACTAAATCTTGATTAATGCTAACTAAAATTAATTAATACAATTAATTAAACTAATTAGAGTTAATTGATTTAACTAATGATTATAAGTTAATTATAAAAATTAGATGTTTGGTCAAATGACGAATGACAATGGGTTTATTGGGCTTTAAGGGGATCTAGCCCAGTTTACATTTTAATCTTTTTAGCCCAGCAGTAAAATAAAAATAAAAAGAAGGAATGGACCCGGCCCAAAAAAGAGAATAAAAAAGCCCGGTCGAGCTCGACCCGACAAACATAACCCGGAGGAGGAATCGGGTTCGATCGGATTAAAAGTGGTTTTAGAACTGTTCTTCGCAAGATTCTGACCACGCTCCAAAAAGTCAAAAAAATGCCAAAAAAATCCTAAAGCAAAACGGAGGAAACCAAAGTTGACTTAGTCCACCATACATGCTTTACTCAATTTCAAACGTCAAAACCCTAAATACTTAGGAAAATATCAAGAATGCGTTCTACTAAAAATATTCAACACGGATAAACCATAGATCTAAAACAACAATGA